AGCCACTCATGGTGAAGCGGGAAGAGGTGGAAGAGATGGAAGAGGAAGAAGCCCACATGAAAGTTCTCCTTGAAGCTTGAAGAAAATCCTTTTCAAAACCCTAGCCTCCATTTCCTTGAATAATTTCGAACCCTATTCCAGTCTATTTTTCTTCCTTTTATTCCCAGCAGAATAGATTGAAAATTTTATGCACACAACCCAAGGAGGGCCGCTCGAGCGATGGTGAGCCGCACGTGTGGTGAAGCTTGGCTGCACGTGTGATGAAGTGGCTGGCTCAGATTTTTCGCTTTTTGCACGAATAATCTGCTGTCGCACTCTTTTTGATTGAATTTGCGTATGTCCTGCCAAATCTGTACAAGTGCACTGAACACATCATCTCCACCAAATAAACAAAATTGAAAGACTATAAATGTAACTTAAGCGACCTCAATGTGGTACCTTTCGGCCTACATCAGTTCCTGAAAGTCTTTTGTCACGCCCCAATTTTTAACTACTCGGAAACATTTCTCTCTCTCTCTCTCTCTTTCTCTCTCTCTCTCTCTTTTAAATTTTAAATTTCTATTACCCTTGAGTAATAGAAATATAATAGTACATATTCTCTCTCTCAATGAATACAACAATAACAATGATACATGTCGAGCTTCCGCTACGGAGCTACAAATAAATAATTACAAATATTAATATACAATATTTATTTTCTTCACATCCACAACGAAATTACACAAAAGAGACTCATGAACTTCTTAACTCTTCAACTATTGGATCAAAATACTTGAAAAATAAAAAATAAAACAATGAGGGATGAGCACAATTGCCCAATAGGAATCTTATAGTTCTACAATAATAACTAACACACAGATAGAAATGATCATGTATGCAGAGTGATACCATATAGTAAGGTGACATTTTGTAAGCTCAAAATATTATTTGTAGAGTATCTTTTTCTCAAAATTTCTTTGAACATTTAAGAAAAACTTTCAGCTATAAAAATTATCCTTCATTATTAGAAAAACCATAAATCATTTTCAAAAACAAATATGTTTAAGGAACAACATCACTTTGAATTTATTAACCAATTTCAAAATATTCTTCATTTAATTTCTATTTTAATAATCCTTTTTTTATTTTCATTTTTCGTTTTTACTAATTCCCATTATTATAACTCCATAACGTAAAAATCCAACTATCTTCTATTTTCAATAACAATTCTCCTACACTCAACTCCTATTTGTCTAACAACTGCCTTACATCCACATTTACAATATCAATTATAATTCAACATAACACAAGAATAATAAACCCACTTAATTCAATTTCTCAATTAATTATGAAACAAAACTCTTAATCTCTCCTTATAATTACATTCAACCCAGTGAGTTCATTATCACCAATCCCTTATCTAACTACTATTTCCTTATCCATTCTTTTCAAATAATTTCTATATGCATTCCCCTTCCATACTAAATTACACATCAAATTGTAATTTCATAAGTTCATCACAAGTCACACATATCATCACCGATTCAACGCATTTTACAACACATTCCATCTTTTGCCGACTTGATACGATGGGATTATGGACACCCAATTCATAACACCCTCCGCCTTTTGCTGACTATTATACGGCGTGATAGTGGGCAGCCAATTCATAACACCCTCCACCTTTTGCCGACTATTATACGGCGTGATAATGGGTAGCCAATTCATAACACCCTCCACCTTTTACCGACTATCATACGACAGGAAGTGAACTCCCAATAACCATTTTCTCAAAAATCATATTTTTCCAAAAAACATGTTTTTCTACATTTACCGACTGTCATACAGCAAGACATGGGCACCCAAAAACCATTTCCAACTTTAAAATCATTTTCCACATTTGTCGACTATTATATGGCAGGACGTGGGCACCAAATTTTTTTTTTAAAATCATCATTTTTTTCACTTTTTTCAGCTATCATACAGAAGGACGTGGGCACCCAAAAATATTTTTGACTCCCTGCGCGGGTACCAACCACAACACAACCCACCACAACTCAACTCAACTCAACTCAACATAACACAACAAAATTTAACACATTTCAACATAACTCAATACAATCCAACACCATTCAATACAATTCGACATAATTAATAAAAACTCTTAAACCTCCACATCATCATTTCATCACAACGCTTATATCATCCATACCATTAGTAATTTCTTCCCCCAAGTTTGGTTTCATATTATAATATAATTTAAAATATCAACATTAAGAGTTCAATCGCAACTTTTACATAAATTTTCAAACTCTTTAAAATTTCAAGTAAACTTGTATATGTGTAATTTAGCACCTCAATTTCATGATACTACTTTCAATTTAAGCAAAATTATCATCTATCTTCATGAACCAAACTAGGGTTTTTAAGAGAAATTAAAATTTTTCACAAAACACTTTTTTATTCCAACTCTTCTATTGCTTATACACCCAAATTCATAACTCAAAATAATAACCCAACAAGGAAACCCCAACTCTTCAAACCCTAAACCCCCAATCTCAAGTTTTTTCACAATATGCTTAAAAATATAAATTTTGTATTTATATAAGAAAATACTACAAATCCATCTATAAATCAGAGTATTGAAGGAGAACTAGAAGCCCCTACCTCAATGATCAAGCGAGAAAGCAAGGCTCCAAGAGATTCCTTCATAAAACCAAAAATCCAATCAGTAGGACAATGTGATCTTCATGTATTCTTCACTTTTGGTAAGAGATCTTAGCCAAATCTTTGAGAAATAGAAGGTATTTTGGTCAAGAAATCAAGGGTTTTCGGTCTTAGGATGCGAGGAAGGAAGAGAGAAAATAAAAGTTGAGAGAATGATCTAGAAAAGCACTTTTTAAATTGCTGAATTCGCATAGTCCACTAGAGCTCCACTTTCTGCACTCGAGCGCACTTGCTTCAAGCATAGATATTAAAATTTCAAATGGGCATAACTCTCTCATCCGGACTCCATTTTAGGTCGTTTTTGTGTCCAAATCGAAACCCTAGAAACAAGCTTTTCAATGGTTCTAGCCTCACACCCAAATTCAAAGTGTGGAAAAAGAAAAGAGTAAAAGAATGATGGTTATTCATAGGAAAATTATTCGAGTCAAAGTTTTTGGTCCAATCTTGCGCTCAAGCGAACAGACCAACAAAGCCGACGCTTGAGTGACCACTCCCACGCACGAGCAGAAACTCACAACTTTTAGAATCTCGGATAGACTGCAAAAGTACTAGGAGCCTCACAAGACCGCTTGAGCATCAACTCTTGCGGTCGAGCAGAGGGAAAATTTATGAAGTGTTACATCTTTTGTGGATGAGTTCCATAATCAATGTTTTGTGATCAAGTCTTAAGCTCTTATTGTCTTTTGTTTATTTTGTACATAGGGCTAAGTCTCTTTTGTTCTATCTGTACTTGGGATGATGTGTTGACACTAGTATGACATCAAAATATATGTGAATATAAGTTTAAATTTTCTGTCCTATATAAGTTTGCATAGCTCTATGAACATTGTATGTTTGATATTTGCTTCTACTAGTCCTTTATTTTGCTAATTTGTCTCAGAGGCCTTTGGTAATCTTAGGATTACTTGCTGGTTACGACGTTAAACCTATAGGGGCGGATTTGGGTCGTGACACAGTTGTGAGGGTGGGTTTGGTAGTTTTTAGAGAGAGAAAAGAAGAAGAATAAGAAAAGGAAGATGTGATGGGATAAGAGGTTGTGGCAACGATAGTCGTGAGGTGTGGAGCCACTGGTGGAGAGAAGAAGGGGGGGTGGAAAAAGGTTTGGGAGTGAGACTGGCGATGGTGAGGGAGGAGGAGTGATGAATGGAGAAGTGAGGAAGAGATTCGCTAGAGACAAAGAAGGAGGAGGCGAAGGCCGATGGCCAATGGCGGCGGCTAGGGTTAGGGTTGGTGGGGTGGTTGAAGAAGATGAGGATATTTTAAGTATATTTGAAGATGGATGGTGTGCATTGAGCAAAAATAATAATGTCAAAATTGTGTTTGGTGTGCACTGAGATGATGTGTGTAAATAGAATATCTCATAAATAAAATGCCTAAAATATCATTTTCCAATGAGTATTTAAATTGATAAAATTAAAAATTTATTTTGTAAAAAGGCTCAAATCTTGAAATTTTTTGAAAATCGTTTTCCCTATAAATTATAAACTTTTGGGACCATTTTCTTGACGTGGCGGTTGTTGGCTCAAAACAACATTTTATTTTATTTTATTTTTGGGAGTTACAATGGCTGCAAGTTTATTGAAACAACCCAAAGATTCATTCTTACTCGGGGATAATTATTTAGTATTTTGGGAATATAGTCACATGGTGTTTTATGATAACATGATTGGTGAAAAAGGTAGAGTATTAATTATTTGAACTAGATGATTGAGAAACAATAGAAGATATAATAAATGGTGATTAGTGAGAGAGTATGATCACGTAGTACTCCAAAACTATTGTATAATTTTTCCTTAATCAGAGAATACTATCCTCACACGTCCAAAGATATTAATAATTTACTTTTTATTATCAGTTTTTTTGTAAGCGATCAAATAATTTATTTCTTCTATAACAATTTAATTTTCAAATAAGCTGCTCTTCTTGTTTTTGTTTGTTACTGATCATTCTGTATTTTTCAGTATAATTTATATTGGGGGTTTATATATGAACTAGATGATACCTAAAATTGGATTTTGATTATGTCGTAGGAGGGAGGAGGTGACACTCATGATTTTTCAGAACTGAATGGTTTTATTGATGAAAAAAGAGTACAAGCAGTACACAGAAAAACATCAAAAAAGAGAGAGCTGTGGCATGTTTTTTTACTGAATAGCAAAACAAGATATTGGTAGAAACTTGCATGGCAAAGGATCAAATTCACTGGGGAGGAAGGAGCAGAGTGCTTAGGTTTTTTTGAACAAAGAGTGCTTATGTTGTTAATTCATAAAAACCACGGAGTTGTACACAATTTTTTTCTCATTCTTTTGCTAGTTAAGATTCAGATAATCAAAGGTTAAGGGCCTAAACACATGAGCAGCTTTTGTCTCTATGAACTTCAATTGCTGTTTCAGCAAGTGCATGTAGACAATCCAGTCACCATTTTGCAGAGGACTTGGCATGGGCATGACATAGCCAGCCTCCCCACCCCATGGGAAGTGGTAAGACCCAAACGTCGGCCTTCCCCAACCGAAATCCACCTTTGAGACTGGAAATTGTCGGCCAGATGACACCACAAAAGCCGGTCCATCATCCTCTTTTCCACTACTACCGGCATATATCTTTGCCAGAGCTGGTTCAGGACGGTGAGCCTCTACCCAATCTATTAGGTCCAAGAAATGCTCCTTCGTCGCTGCATTTTCCAAGCAGTCATGAACTGCCTCCGCCACCCAACTCAACGGCTTCTCCTTGAGGTCGCCAACTCTTTCCTTGCCAAACGGAATGGACAAAACGTTCCCAAAGTAAGCATCCATCAGGGTTGCCCTTTTGCTATCTGCATCTGCTTCTCTCAATCTCATTCGTCCATCTACTACAATACCCATCCTGGAAATCTTGCCCCTTTCAGCTTCCCTAGCAGCAACTAGTTTCCACAAAAAGGCACTAAATGCCTCAAGCTTGGTCTTCCCTCGTCCGCTAGTACCATGATTGGCTAATGACTGGAGACGACTGAGTTGATCAGCCTCAATCAAGGTTTTAAAAAGCGGCCGCAACCGTTACGTAACGCCGTTACGTAACGGTTTTGGTGGTTACCGCCACCCGTTACGGCCGCTTTTGCAGTGTGATTGAGATTCACAGGTGTGTTGGCCGTAGCGGCCGCTATAGCGGTTGTAACGGTGCCGTAACGGCCTGTTACGTACCGTTACGTAACGGTTCCGAACTGCTTCTTTAAAAAAAAACATTAAAAAAAAAAAAAAAATTGAAAATAGGGAAAAGGGGATAGAGAGAGAAGAGGGAAGATGAATAATATGTCATTAATTTGTTGAAGCTGTAAGACCTATGATATTCTATTCAGCTACTATCAGTCAACCATTTTGTTTGTATATATCTATCTATATATTATTTGAAAATCATAATAATAATGTGGTCATTATCGATTTGGCTTGATTAATATATATATATATATATATATATTTAGACTCTTATTTATTCTCCTACTTTTGTCTTGGTTTATCTTATATATAATAATTAGTGATTGATTTTTTTATAAAATATCTAGAAAACATAACACCTATAATTATATATTAATAGATATTTTACACATGTCAATTTTTATTAGTTTATTTTATTTTTATTTACAGGTTATCTAAAAAGAGAATGAATATTCAACTGATCCAAACCCCCCCAAAAAAAATTCTTTATAATTTATTTTTTAATTTTTATATGATTATATTAGCATGTCTAATTTATTTTTTAAAAACTATTCAAGTTAAAATTTGCATATGCTTCTACAAGTATAATAATTAAAAAATAAATTTATACGTCTAACTCCAATAATTTTTTTTTTACCACAAGTGTAATATGGATTTATGACATATAAAGTCATTAAGTTACGCTACGGCCTTTACACCCCGCAACCGCAACCGCGGCACCGCCACCGTTACAGCGACCGCAACCGCTTTTCAAAACCTTGGCCTCAATATAATAGATGCGACTTATCAACTCATCGACATTGGGCTTCGTATTTTTGGGAAGTGGTGGTAGGGCAGAGACAGGCACATACATGTCATCCAAGAAGGGATCATACCATCCGGGCTGTCGAGGGCTGAGTATTGATCGTCCGATTGATGGAAGCAAAGACAATTGTTTGTCATGAGCCATCTCTGCCCATGAGACAAGAAACATGTTGGTGGAATAAGCGTCGGCCACCCGATGGTCAAACGTGCAAGCCACCACTAGTCCTCCGCACTTGAGTTCAGTGGCCTGTCATTAAATTTTACCAATCAAACTCTATGGCATTGGCATGCTTAAATGTAATTGCATTATCAGCACTTTTATTGCAGAAAATCCAATGACAAAACATTCACAATATATAGGTCTCATGATGGGATTCTTCTCTTACGAATGTTTTGTAACTGATTGTTGTGTGTATTTTTTTGGAGAATTGCTGTTCACTTGAAAGACCAAAAAGAAAAGTTTATCAACTTTAATAATTGAAGTGATAAATTTTTTTATGATTTTGCAATTTTTTTTTCGTTTTTCTACTGATTTATAATTTTTCGTATCTTTTTTAGCATCATTACTGGAGTATAAACTAGGGGAATGAGAAAAATTGGAAACTTTTTGTGTGTGTGTGTGTGTGTGTGTACATATTAAATAATTTATTAAACTAATTGTTGATTTACAAAATTCAATATTCAATTTTGAATACTTAATTTTTTATTTTTTATTTTTTTTTTCAATTAAAAAAAACATATTACAAATACATGACAAAATTAAGATTTTTATTATTAATATTGATGAAATTTTTCATTAATTTATAATTTATTTTTGAAACTTCTATTCTACTGATCTGTTATTTTTTTTAGATTTTATTTAGGGTAAATTTCACTTTATCCCTTATGGTTTGGCTCATGTGCGGATTACACTCTTTTTATTTGGAAATAACTACATAGTCTATTGTGGTTTGTAAATTGAAATGCACAATTAAGCCCATAATGATTTAATTAAAAAACTTAAAATATCTCTATATATAAGTAACATAAGTTTGCGAACTACGAATATTTTCATCTTTTGTTTGGGAGACAAAATGTACTATAACCCTTGTGCTTTATTCAATGTGTGATTTACCTTTTGAAATTTGAAAATGACCATCTAACCCCTTGACGTATTTCACGCTTCCTGTTAAATTGGATGAAATGTTTAACAATGCATTTCAATCCACAAACCATAAGGGTGCTATTTGGTTAGAGCATCTCCAACGGTAGTAGGCATTTTACTTATCTAAATATTACTATAAAGTATATATTTTATTTTGCCTATCGACTGTTTTATGTTTTTACTCCAACCATGCTCTTTATTTTAGCTATTTATCCAAATACTATTAATTTTATAGAATGCCACGTCAACAACAAAGATGGAGGGAAATGATCCTAATGATTGAATACATTTTGCCTAGCATTGAAGGCTAGCTACATGTAGCTAGTGAATATGAGTTGAGGCAAAATGCCTAATCATATGCCTAGTGCATTGGAATTGAAAAAAGTGAATCACACTAGGCATTTTAACTAACAAGTATTATATGCCTAGTGCATTGGAGATGCTCTTATTTCCAAATGTGAAGAGGGTAATTCGCACATGGGTCAAACCATAAAGTAAAATTTGGTTTTTTATTTATTCAATGTTAATTTCAGAGAATTATTACAAATTCATGAAAAATTTATAATTTTAATTATTAATATGCATAAAGTTTACCACTTATTTGTAATTATTTTTTAAAACTTACCTTGCATTGAAAATTCCCCTTTTATTTATGGAGGAGGAGGCCCGTGCAGCTCACCACAAGTCTCGTTTCGATAATTCAAATTGTTTATTTTGTTGAGCATTTTGTATATTTCATCCACACAAAAAATTAGCTCGATTCAATAATCATAACTTATTCAATTTGTCACGTTAAAAATAAACCATTCATTTTTTTGCTGATAAACATTATAAATTAAATAAGTTACGATTATTAAATTGACATAATTTTTTTGATGAATGAAATAAACAAAACACTCAACAAAATAAATAATTCGAATTACCGAAATCGATCCGTAACAGACCCACGGACCCAAACAGCATAATCTGCCTCACTTATTTGTGTATGGAAACAAATTCATTTCCTTGCATAAGACGAGTGTTGATTAATGAAATATGCATTGGGTTAGGACCAAACACGGGTAGCACCAAAAGAGCAAGTCAATATAAAAATGAAAAATGTTATGATAGTGCCCTCCATATAGCTAGGGATTCTACATTTCAAAATTTTCTATTTTCTTTTTCAAATATACTCATAATCATTATCATGTATCAAAATTTATGTATTTCAAAAAAAAAAAATAATTTGACATATAAATTTATGTATAAAAAAAAAATGTATCAAAATTTATGTATTTCAAATTTACATATAATTTAATAATTAAAAATAAATTGGGATATGAAAATAAGAAGATTTGACACAAACGTTGATTTAACTCAACAATTTTTTTTTCATTATTTTTGTTAAATTGTTTTTCACTAGAGATAAATGTATAAGTCCCACATATGTACTAATGTGAATCTATTGTCAATTTTATTTAGTGATAAAAAAATTTAATAAAAAATCCATTCATATATTAGATTAATGTTTTGTCAAAGAGTTAGCTTCATTATATTGACATTTACATTTTTAATGGCATTTTATAGTTTAAGTTAAAAGTTTGTTAATGTGTACTTTTATTGAACATGTTAAGAAATTTAAAATATCTTTATAATATTTATTATATATACTTTGAGAAAATATTCCACTCATGTGTACTCTTCTTGAAGGGCATTTTTTTCTTTGAGCAAATCTTTCAAGAGTCTGAGAAAAGCAATAAAATTAAATAATATTTCAGTCTTCGCTATTAAAATTTCAGATTTTTCCCAAATAACTACTAAAAGTGAAAATTCAGGTTTGACAACTCTAATTTTATTTAAAATATTTTTAAAAAATAGAATATTAACTTTAAACTCACTAATATGTCCCTAGTATTGAAATACATTTGTAATACAAATTTTACTGAATTTTGGATCTGTTTGATAGTAAACCAGATACAGATTTTCTTTACAAACACAATAATATTACACACTATTAAAATTAGAAAATTTTAAAATACTAAATTCATTATAGAATTTATGATATCAAAGTATGTGTTGACACCTTATTTTTACCAATTTTAAGAAAATAATAAATAAATAAAAATATTCACCTTATTTGGTTTAAATTTTCTGAATTCAATTTTTTAAAAATTAAATTTTTTATTTTTTTTTGTGTTTATTTAATTTTTAGTTAATTTTTTAAAATATTTTTAAAGAGAATCTGAAAACTAATATTTTCATTACACAAAATAGCTTCTATACAGTTAGTTTTATATACAACAAATGTAACTCTAGTTACTAATTAACTAATCTAATAGTTACTAGTTAACTAACCTAAGGTACAGTTATAACAACTTTCTAACTAACTTACACATCACTATATGTAACACATGCACCACTATCTCTAACTGATCTGTAACAGATTTGTATAGCTTCTGCTGTATCAATCTGCTACAGAAAGGAGCTCAGCTCTGTGGCTTCAACTACAGCTCAACTTCTCTTCTTCTGCAGCTATAGGCTGATCTGTAGCTGCTGTTGCAGAGACATTATCAGGCCCCTTCAAGCTGATGGGAGAGGGAAGAACCATAAGCTTGGACTGAAGATAAGTAAAGCGGGAAAGAGACAGAGGTTTGGTGAAAATATCTGCCACCTGATCAGATGTTGGAATATGACAAATGGAAAGTTGTTTAGCAGCTACTCTTTCTCTAACATAGTGATAGTCCACCTCGATATGTTTAGTTCGGGCATGAAACACAGGATTGGAAGACAGAGATATGGCAGATATATTATCACACCATAAAGTAGGAGAAGGAGAAGGAACATGCAATTTAGAGAGAAGCATGCCAAGCCAACTTAGCTCAGCAGCAGTGTGAGCCAGTGCTCTATATTCAGCTTCAGTGGAGGATCTAGCCACAGTAGGCTGCTTTTTCGCAGACCATGAGACCAAATTAGGACCAAGAAAAACACAGAAGCTAGTAGTGGAACGTCTATCCAGGGAATTGCCAGCCCAATCAGAGTCTGAAAAGGCATGTAGTGTAAGAGGTCCAGGACTAAATTGCAGACCATAGCCAATAGTGCCTTTGAGATAGCGGAGCAGTCGTTTAACCATAACAAAGTGGTGAACAAGAGGTTGGTGCATAAATTGACAAGCAAAGTTCACTGCAAAAGCAATATCTGGTCTGGTGATGGTTAGGTATTGGAGGCCTCCAACAATACTTCTGTAGAGAGATGGGTTGGAACAAGGTAAATGATCATTAGGAGAAGAAGAAGGTTTAAGAGCCATGGGAGAAGAGTATGGCTTGCAGTCAGCCATATTAGCTTTTACAAGCAACTCAGAAGCATACTTTTGCTGAGATAAGAAATAGCCCATAGGAGATGAGGACACAGAGATGCCAAGGAAGTAATTAAGCAACCCAAGCTCCTTCATAGCAAAAGCACCATGCATTTGAGTAATCAAAGTAGTGATATAAGCACCATCACTACCAGTTAACAAGATATCATCAACATAAATGAGGAGAATGGTAATGGAGTCTGCTGTCTTCTTGACAAACAAGGATGAATCACAATGACTAGAGATAAAACCACAAGATAGTAAAAAGGAAGAGAAGGTAGAAAACCATGCCCGGGGAGCCTGTTTAAGACCATAAAGAGCTTTATGCAATTTGCAAACCAAATTAGGATGAGAAGCATCAATGAATCCTTGAGGTTGTTGCATATAGACTTCCTCCTCTAAAACACCATGCAAAAAGGCATTAGATATATCCAGCTGCCGAATAGACCATTGAAAATGTAGAGCTAAGGATAGAAGAACTCTGACTGTAGGTTGCTTGGCAACAGGACTAAAAGTCTCATGATAATCAATGCCCTCAGTTTGGAGAAACCCTTTTGCTACAAGTCGAGCCTTATACTGAGCAATGGAGCCATCTGAATTTCTTTTAAGTCTATAAACCCATTTGCAGCCAATAGCAATTTTGTCTGGAGGTAAAGGCACAAGAGACCAAGTGCCTTGTCTTTGCAAGGCTTGAAACTCATCTAACATAGCTGCCTGCCATTTAGGAGAGGCAGAAGCAGCTTGAAAAGTAGCAGGTTCAGTGGGAGAAAAAGAAGTGAGAAGGCAGTCAGCATTATTATTCTTTAATTTTACAGGATAAAATGGGGTTTACTATGAGAATATATTGTGTATATATGGCATTGTGTATATAAGGAAATACGCACATTCTCACATTTACAAAATCACATAAAACATTTCATGTATAATATATGGGAGTTTTATGCATAGCTCTATATGGAAAACTCGAATTGTACAACAAGCTTGTTGGGTGAATATCCAAATACATGCCGAAAACACATTCAATACCTTTATCCAAATTGCCGATCAAAAAAAAAAAAAACCTTTATCCAAATCTTACTTAGAAGAATTCATTTAAGATAGAAAAAGAGACGAAAAAAGAAAATATGAAATTGACATAAGGAAGCAAATTTATGCTCTTTTGTTTGAATTGCACTAGGTTGGGTCAGTTCATTAATGTGTCTCCATGAAGATATAGAGAGATTGAGGAATACACATTAATTTCCTACTTTTTGTTTCTAGTAATATTTCAGTTTATTCCAACAACATTGACTCTTAATTCTGGAGTAGTGAAGCTGAATTACTAAATTGTATGGACAAGGGGAGGAAATCTTGTAGAATATTTAAACTTTGATTTGCTTTTGATTCTGTGCTTTGTTTTGTAGTTTAAATTCACTAGTCATGAGTTTTGATATGTTGGTGTACGAGCACGAAATATTCTTCCCGTATAATCCTGTTGATCAAGATTGCGCTCCTCCGTACGTCGTCACTTTATTCCCTGAAAACACAAACGTGAGCTAGCCGGCGGGTGTGTGCTGGATACCTCTCCGATGCCTAAGTCAGCAAAATAGACAAATAGAAAAAAAGCTCTGTATGTTCGGAAATCAAAGTTGGGTTACCTCTCCATGGGTGATATTGTGAGCTTTTATAGGTTCCGCGTGGCACAATCCTAGTATGACTCTTACTCCTCTATGTAGAGTCCTCCTAGGAGTCATACTCCTGAAAGATAATGCTTATCCTTCTACACCCTCCTCACTGCTTAAACCAAGTGAGATGGTTTTACCATGGTCGGATTCCAATATGATTGAGGTAAGCATGGCTGTGCTGAGCCGCAGACTACACCGAGATAACTTTAGCTCAGCTCTTCCATTCACTGCTCTTACCCCGGTTTCTCCCAGTGCTAACCATGGTATGTCTCGACTGGGATAACCAACAACGTGGTCTCGACCGAGCTTACCGTAAGCTCTTTGGGACCGGAATAACTTTAGGCCTCTCTTGGACCAGAGTAACTTTTAAGCCTCCTTTGAACCGGAGTAACTTTACGGCCTTTTTACTCAGCCCTTCGTACTGTGGCCCATAACGGCCCATTACCCAACTCGGCCCAATTTTCATATAAATTTCCCTCTCAGTTGGTTACATAGTTTAGTTGTGTAGTTCGACTCACACGGAATATATTGAGGGAAGAGTCTTCGTTTAAATTTAAAAATCAGTAATTTTACTAATTCACACAAAATTGATTTTATTCACAATTAAATTGTGTAGTGAAAATTGAATTGGTATAATGTAAGTTCCACATAAAATAAATTTAAATCATAGATTGATTTTCTATGTAAGATTGAAGATAAAAAATCTAGTGCTATTTAAAATGAATAGTAGGCCTTATAGATAACGGGTTAAGTATCCCATTTGATCAGTATGTTATAAGAGAGGAAATGATTGGAGCCCACAAGATGAAAGCAGAAGAAAAGACATTGACTCTTTCCATTCTACATATGTAATGAACGATTTTCATTAAAAATATTATTTTAAATTCAAAAATTATTGTACTTATGTAATATACATTATAAATATGCAATGGGGCTTGCTCAGGATCTGTTGCTGTCTGAATTTTCTATCTATTGCTGTTTGCTGATGTTAGATTCTGCTGCCTACATTCTGGTGTTTGATAAGAGGTGTTGCTGGGTGTGTTATGGTTCCTGTGCTGTGAAGTCTTTGGGGCTGTTTAGTCTTGGTTCTATCTGTTATGATCTGCGGGTTGATAGGAGAGGAGGAAATGCAATACCTGAACCGAGAGCACCCCTTGCTTCTTCTTAGGCACCAGCTTACCTTCAATGCTGTCATCAGGATTGTAAAAATTGAGACCTTGAAGCTCTACGTGGGCAAAAGCTTCAATGAAGTCCACTCCACGGTTGTTGCAGAGAAGCTGAGGTTCACCCACAGTGTTGTGCACAACCTCCCCAGCAAATGGATAGTAAGAAACTAAAGCTTGAGACATGGCCTTCTTCAAAACATAGACCATGGAGGCAAATGTGAACAACAAGCCCCCTTCTTTTCCAGTGAGTCGTGTGGTGGTGGTGGTGGGATTCTTGTAACAGAAGAACACAGCGACGTCGACAGGAGGCAAGAGCAAGTCAAGGTTGGAAAGCGGTAGCAAATGCTCCTGCATCGGCAACCCCGCTGCCACCACTTCCTTCTTCCTCACCTCCACCACCACCAACTCTCCCTTCCCACTCATTTTTTGTTTATTTCAGAGAGAACTGGGTTGGGGATATGGGAGGCAACGACGGAAAATTTATAATGGAAAAATGCACCTGCACATAATACAGACATGGGTGGGCCTTCTCTACGTTGGGAGATATTCTATGAAACGTACCCTGTTCAGTGGAAAAATGCACCTGCACATAATACAGACAGAGATGGGTGGGCCTTGTCTACCCTGTGCCTCAATTATCACGTGTGTTTTTTTATTTTATAATTGAGTATCGGGGACAGCACCCATTCGGAGTAACGCATCTCGACTAATCTCGGAACCCTGAACCGATCGACTAGGCAAAGACGTAATGGCTAGCCAATTGGGGATGGGATTTGAACTAGGCAAAGATGCAATGACCTGCCAGTAGTGGCCTAGAGATGGGATTTGAACTTGAGACCTAAAGAGAAACATACTCCTAAGTCTTTGGCCCCTTTACCCTCAACCAACTGGGCTACCCTTGCGGGTTACCTCAATTATCATGCTAGTAATATTTGGTTAAGATTTATTGTGATTTTAGTTATAATTTTGTTGTAATTTTGTTATATAAATTGTAAAGTTAGTTATGACATTATGATATTAGTTATAATTTTAATTTAATTATGATTCAAAACATTTTAGTTATACCTTGTTGTATTTGGTTATGACTCAATTTTTTTAATTATAACTCTAAGAGGATTCAATTATGACATTTATGATAATTAATCTCATAAATATCACAACTGGAATATGATACAGCTGTGTACCGAAGGATTGATCTAGGGGGCAGGGTGTGGTCGCACTCCAAAAATTATAAAAAAATATGCATATTATTCTACTAATTAGTAAAATAATTTTATGATAATTAACTTCACAAATATCACAGCGGACATATGATACAGCTATGTACCCAAGGATTGATCTAGGGGGCGAGGTGCGGTCGCACTCCAAAAATTATAAAAAATATGTATATTATTCTACTAATTAGTAACATAATTTTAAAAAATGAGAAATTATATACATTTGCCCCTCCAAAATTTGAATCCTGGAAACATCAAATACCATAACATAATCTGTATGTTTTACACAATTATATCTGTATGTTCTACACAATTATATATATATATATATATATATATATTTGTTCAATAATAGTTTTTTTTTAAAAAAAGTACAGAATTATGCTTGTTATTATAGTATTTTTAATTTAAAAACACAACACCCATCTTTATGATAATAATTTACATAACGATATTATGATTATTTTTTATAACTAAAATAAGAAAATGTATATATATTTTTGGCATATTTATTTATTTATTTTATAAAAAATTTATATATTTATATTAAAAATTATTACACAAATAATGAAGTATATTGATGTATGAAAAAAATTATATAATATTGAGTCAGCGTAAAATATAGAGTTTGTTCTAGTCTTAACTTGAGCTCGATTTAAAAATTGATTAGTTAATTAGTGAAAACAATTAATAATAATCAATTTAAACTTATGTTTAATAATTTGTTAAGTTATGATGAATATGAGCTAATACTATATCAAATACTAAAAGTAGTGTAGAAATTGAATTTGGTTGATTTTTATGTTATACATCAATATAATTTTGTAATCTTCATCCTTCGTATGTTTTCCATCAATAAAATTTTTTGCTGATCAAAAAAAAATACATCAATATAATTTTTAGAGAAATCGTTTTGGTTCATACCCAACCATCACATTGGCCACTTATTTATTTTTTAAAATGGTAAAAATATTGTAAAAATTTTTATAACCAAAATAAAAAAATATATATATGAATATATAGTTGGCATATTTATTAATATTCTAAAACTTCAATTAAGAAATTATATATTTATTCTTAAAATATGTCTAATATTAAATTATATTTATATCTTAAAGAATTATTTAAGATCAGATTAAGCTAGTAAGTAGATTTTATTTTTAGTATAGAACTTGATTAAAAAAGTGAAGTCTCAAAACAAATCATAATTTTCAATTTAAATTTTATGAAACTTTTATTTAATACAAATCTTCACCTAAAATGTTTTAATATTTTAAAAATAATTAATTATTTGTGAAATGAGTTACCATTATAAAAACACTAAAAAAATTGTCTTGTATTAGTGTGAAAATCAATTAACCAAAGAATTAAATTGATGAGTTATAAAATTTTTGTTTTGTTTTTCAAAACAAAATCAATGAATGTGTGCTTATAATCTTAATTTCTTTTCACAGACATCATATGTATTAAAAAAATTATAATTTAGGCATAACTATTAGTACATATGAGTGTACAAAACAAATCAAAAAAGAAAAAAAAATGTACAAAAGAAATTAAATGTGTGTAATTAAATCAAAATATTTTGAAGGTTCTGAATTTTTATCATGAATTTTAAAGATTTGAGAGTAGTTATATATTGTATGAATAATATAGTAATATAGTAAGAAGCAAGTTTTAAATTTTTTTTAAAGGAATAAAAATTAGTGGGAGATGATTAAGTTGGAAACATATGAAATATATATATATATATATATTTTCTTTTATAAGAATACTCTGATGAATAACTCAAATGATTCGTTTTCTCTTATAAATGCATGTTAATGTTATGGTTATTATGGGTTTATTTTGAGGGCGTGACAAGCCCGTACTACTTTTTAAATATATTTTTTAATTCAATAAATCCACTAATTTATTATGAGGTTTTGGATCTCTCACAATGCTCTTCACGAAAATCCTTTTGCTTATATAATATATAGATTTGCTAATCAAAATATTTTTGAGTGTGTGATTTATTAATTATTATTTTTTAATTGGAAAACTTCTTTTTTGTTTGATTGTAAGGAAAGAATGATTTTAGAGAATAATTTTAAAAATGAAAGATTGTTTATAATTGCCGCATTTATGCGGTGTTCATCCAGTTGTTTTAAATGAACGAGACATTCCACTTGCAGGGATGGTTTCAGGTAGGAGCTCTATTGCAAGTTTCAAGGAAGGTAATTCACATTCAATGGGTAAGATGGCCTCCACTCCGTGAACCAGTTTAGAGCTAGTCTGAGGTCAAGTAATCAGGCAAGGCATACGCAGTTCATTCCCTTCTATTCTATAATAAGGAATATATATAAATACATTCGCGTCTCAAGCAGAGTTACATTCTGCAGGGTTTCATCTACATTTAAAGTTATGTTTGTTTGAGTGGACATGAGCTTAGAATTTGATTAATAGTCTAATAAAATTATTAATCCGATATTTGGTTAAACAATTGAAGTACAGACTAACAATCCATCTGGATATGATATCCTACAAATGATAGACTATTCAATCTCATAGAGAGGGATGTGATATAAATTGGAAGACTAAGCCAAAATCTAAACTATTAGTCCTCCTTATAATTCTAACTCAATCCAAACATAAGATAGGATATAGAATTCAAAAGATTTGTAGTCCTAAGAGTATTAGTCATGGAAATGTTAATCCAACCTAATCAAGTCCACCCAAACAAATATGGCCAGAGGGTGGGAAACGTGGCAAAAGATAACCCTCATAGGTTAAGTAAGAACAACCGCACAAGTACTTGCATCAAAAAATGTTGTCCATAATTGATCTGAATTCCTCTCATTGAAGGTGCTCCGGGCCCATGTCTGGGGTAGTGGCCGAGGCCTCGTTTTACCTGCCAATTACGGAGCTCTACCTGGAGGAAGCCGACGATTTCTTTGTTTAATTTGAAAAATTGAAAAAGAGTAAAATTATTATATATGAAATTGTGCGTGGGATTTATAAATTATTTTTTTTAATTGAAAAATTAAGTGATTGAGATTGAGCATGTTGAGCTCTTACATCCTTTCTCATTAGAAATTTCATTTTTCTTAATATGTAATATAGATGAATGACTATTCTTAAAATTATAATTATCGTTTATTTTTTTAAATCAAACATGATTCAAACTAATAGTTATCGATATCGGATTATTATAATTTTTAGTATGAATGTTTTACTCAACAAATCCTAAAAAATAAAGGATTCACATCATTAAAATCAGCTCCTAAATGAACACACCAAGCTTGAAAGCTCTATAAAGTTGGATGACCAATTTAAGATAATCTAATACCAAACGTTAATACATCTTTTTGACAATAATGTGAATAATAGTGTCTTGGACGTGCATGTTTTAGCTTTATTCACAGCACATTACTCCTTTTAAACGTCATACACATTCTACAATTTAATGGCTTTCTGCAATCTAAATCAATTACCACTAGGCATGAAAAAGATGTCCACACGTCATTGGACTAAATTCACATGCCTGTCTGTTAACTTTGAAGCTTGAATAATGCATCTTTAAGGTTGTGTTTTGACAGGAAATAGAAAAGATATGTAAAATATAATTATATTTCATTCAGATTTTATCTACTTTTTTTCTTTCTCTTTTTTATTTTAAATTCTTACTTAAATCTACGGACCAAATACAACATAAATAGTGACAAATTTGCAATTTTGATTATGTAGTTACAAAAATAGTACCGTCGTTTGATGAAAATATCTTCCTAGTTCTGCCACATGTGGCCAATGTGAATCCATCCTTATCGTTCACGTACAATGGACAAGGGGATGAGTAAACTTTTTCAATGAATGTTAATACGCACTAAAATATCCCAGATGACCAGGTCAGTCACGTCCTCTGTGCCGACTAAAAATTGAATATTCGTCAAATTAATATTTTATGAATAAAAATTTAGAAACAAAATCAAATTAAGAATCAAATATTTTAATTGATAAGAGTATTATCGTTTTATTTTTAGCTCACATGTCTGAGCAGTAACTTAAAGTTTGAATGGATCGTTAAAAAGTGACTATGAAAGGTGCAAATTTGGTTATATACGATTCGTTGGAAATTAGCCAATGTGTAAAAAAATAAAAAGAAAAGTTAACTTTAATAATAACTTTTTAACTATTTTTTCACTTTTCAAATAATCCTGTAGTTACGAAAATAGTATGATTTGTGGCCAATGTGA